TTTTTTTTTTCTTTTCTGGGTAAATTTCTTCCTTCCTGCTTCTCTTCTTCCCCCCCCATTTTACCTCAGTGCCATGGGCTGTCATGCCCCCATCTGTGTTTTTTCTATTTCTATGCCCTCCGAAAATATACCGCTCTTGCTTACTTTTTCTTCCCTGCCCTGGGACACTTCCTAACACACTCTTGGACTGTCGCCTACTTTTTTTCCTCACAACTCCTATCCCAGCTGCCCACTCCCTATTTCTCCAAGCTCTCACATTCCAAGCACCCCAGATGAGGTTTTTTATTTATCTCTCTCGTTTTCTTTTAACTTCAGCTGTTTGACATGATAGTTAACTTTGTTTGCAGTAGTAGTTGTGTGTGTGGCAATGCTGTTTGATTTTGTAAAGTAATTCCTAATTTGTTGTAGGTATGTTCCATCACAAGCTGATATAGCTGTGTTTGAAGCTCTTGATGCTCCACCATCAGCTGACTTCCACCATGCACTTCGCTGGTACAACCATATCCAATCCTATGAAAGCACCAAGGCTTGGTATGTTATGTTTGATATGAGCTGCTTGACATTTACTGAGTCCCACTAATTATGGTAACAGCCTTAGTAACCGTTGGGCAGTGATTTCATTGGGAAGATACTACTGCTGTAGTGTGGTTGATAACTTGACTGTTTTCTTGATGTCTGTTAGATCATCCAGGGGAATGCTGTTTAAGTTGTGCAGTAGTATATTTGGTCATTTATGCAGGCTTACTGTTGAGGGTGTCATTTCCTTTGATCTGCAAGGAGGTGAATGTTCCTGTTACGAGGTCTGTTAAATGTCTTGTGGACTTGAAATGTCTCATTCTAACTAATAATTCACATGATCCCATGATCACTGTTCACTTTCAAGCTGAGTATGATTTGCTTGAGTTAATCATCTCACTAGTCAAACATACTGAATTGTCGTAAACCGTATAATGTACCATTTTTGAGGTCTTTTGGTCTAAGCTTGTGCTGGCTCTTTCAAAGAACATTCAGCTAGCCTGTGGCTCACTTTATCTCCTAATTCTTGCAGTTTTTCAAGTACATATCCAATTTCTTCTTTTGAAGATGGGGCTTGCTGAAGATCCAAATGTTGAGTATGCAAATAGGTGCCCGTTCTTTGTGCATTTGTTGCCATTGATGTCTTGATGCCTGCCAAGGAAGATGCCATTTAAGATAAAAATGAATTGTTGGCAAAATGCTACAGGTGTGGCAGCATCTGTGGAAAGAAATCATTCAGAGATGCACATGCAGAACAGTCCCTAGACTCAATGCTTTCTCTACAGATGCTGCCAGATCTGAGTTTCTCCAGCAGTTTGTTTTTTTGTTTCAACTTTCCAGCATCTGCGGTCTTTACTTCATTTAATGTTTTTATTTCTCACCATCTGGTTGCTTGCTTAAGTTGATCAATTGCCCAACAGCCTTAATTTCTTCATGCACTCCGACTCCCTCCACATCCTTAGGCCACTCATTTCTTCCACCCTGACTATGGTTAGATCTGTGTCCAAATGAGTGGTTGTGCTCTCAGCTTTCTCCTGTTCTGACCCTGTCTACTTCAAAACTTAATTACCAAAGTTTGCCTTGAATTTATCTTGGGACAATTTGAAAGGACTGTTATTAATGCATTTGCATTTGAATGCTTGGTCACTTCAAGGAAAACCCTTCATTACTGATTATCAAATGCTATGTGGCTGCTTCTATGTCTAAATTAAACTCATTACTGTCGTCGTGGATGACCTGCAGTATGTGGATGATTGCAGTTTCATTGCGTAGTCTATACCAGACTCGCAAGTCATTTGACAAAAAGTGAACTTAAATTTTCTGAAGAAGGGTATAGGCCCGAAACGTCAGCCTTCCTGCTCTGCTGCTTGGCCTGCTGTGTTCATCCAGCTTTACACCTTGTTATTCTCAGACTCTCTGGCATCTGCAGTTCCTACTATCTCAAATTAACTTTGATCTGTTTAGTCAAATATTGCACCTCTGTATATGTTGAAGCAGAGACTTGTGGTTTATAGTTCCCCTGCCATGGCAGCTGCCATTGAGATCCATCAGTAGATTAGCTGTATCAGCTTGACCTTCCATATGCTGTGACAGTGGGTGTTATGTAATATACACAAGTTGTTGATCTAGATCCATGGTGTAAACTTAGGATCTCAGTAGGTCACCCTTAACTCTATCTCTTTTTGAAGAGCATAACTTTGAGACCACAAACCAGTGATTATAATGTACCAGTCATTGCATCAGAGCTCTATGTAAAGTATGTGGATTATGCTTTTTTGTGTAGCGATTATTTCTATTTAATTGTTTTCCAAATGTCTTGGTTTGTAGTGCAGGCTTGAGTTAGATACCAATTTCATTTTCCAGTTGGAGAATTCCAATTCCAGAAAATTGGCAGCAATCCCTTGACCCGGAAAGCAGTTTCATTTCTGAAGGCTTCATTGAGATTTAACCTGAGGCAGAATGATTGCAACTCCAAAACCAACCTGTTACTGTTGTAGATAAGACAAGATCATGGGGGTGGTAATGGAGCAGATTTTGTATCAAAAGCAGTTTCAAGATTTGTACTGTTCATGTGTTTCAGCATTAATTTGCTGGGCTGCAGAAATGGGAAATCCTGTCAATTCTGAAGTTCTAAATACTGATGTTTGCTTACTTATTTGCATTTCTGACTGTAAGCCATTCTTAGCCTTCCAGGTGTTAAGCAGCCCCTTAGTAAATATGGTCCACAAAATGTAGCAGATACAACAACAGCAAAAGCTGTGGATGATGACGATGACGACAATGACATTGATCTCTTTGGATCTGATGATGAAGAGGTAGGTTCAGTGCAGCTGTTTGTACTTGCTTAAACCCTCCTGGCCTGAGTTGAGATAAAGGTCAAGGATGCTTTTTACTCTGTAGTCTTACGAAAACTTTGGTAACTTTTGTCTTCAAGTACTCTTGAATTCAAAAATACAGATTTGAAAGGCTTCAGATTTCTTCAGCTTTGATACATTACTTGGCCTCAAACACAACTACCTGCATGGTGGAGGCACCAAGTATCTCTAACTGTAGTAACTTCAAAAGCAGCTTCTCAGTTGTAAATTTGTAGAATTTGTTCAAAAATTAGTGGCTGAGACAATGAAGCCAAGTTAGTTCTGTCTCTCGGATTGTGGAGTATCTAATTGTGACCAGCTGAAAA